TAGGACCCCGGGTCCTCTCTGAGGTCCTTAGGTCGGGACAGTCTCCTCTGGCGCTTGCGGCTCCATGGCTCAAGGGCGCCACCTGAAGGCTGCGAGAAAGAATCTGACGAGCCCCCTCCCCCTTTTCTCTGAAATTTTTTCTCTGTGGGACACTGGAGTGCCCCGCCCAAGAGGGGTGTTCTCTTGGGGGCATAGCCAATGGCCAAACACACCCTCACCCTCCAAGGCCCAGTTGTGGGGCCTCTTCTCCTGGAACCCCTCCCTGGGCACACACACCCACTCATCCCAGGGGCCCCTCCATCTGGGCTCTCCTTTTGCCTGCACTGTTTGCTTTGATCTCTGACGGTCGTGATTTTGTTTAAGGGTCAGCCTCCTCCATCGGATTAGCAGCTCCTGGAGAACAGGACCCGTGTCTGATCGCCTAGAACGACCTAGGTGGGTGTGGGTGAACAGGCTGTGAATAGGAGTGACTTTCACTTACTTCCTTTACAGAGCTGGGCTGGAGTTAAGATGAGTCGAGTGAAGTGCCTAGAGTACCAAATTCAAGGAGACATTTCCTCTTTGGGTAACACACGCCAGCCCCAGAGAAAGCTTTGGTCTGAATCGTGCAGGTTCAGGGAAGACACGGTGACCAGCTGAATCGTGTGGCCTGGGGTAGTACCTTCTGGCCTCTGAGCCTGTGTCCACTTCTGTCCATGAGGAACGGGAATGTGCAGCCTTCAAGGGCTGTGGGAGGGCCAGCAAAAGTTGGCCATGTGGAAGGACAGGCAAATGAGAATGCCATGTCCTCCTCGGCCACCTCATGAGTGGAACCTAACCTGTCCTCCTCCAAAGTTCTGTGCAGTCCTCACCAACCAGGAGACTGGAAGTCACCCTGGATGATGGATGCCTGTGCCTTCAAGACCAGCATAGCCTAGCCCTGGGCAGGTCCACCAGGGCTGGGAAGGCCTCCGTTTCCTCCCAGTCTGGCAGAAGCCTGGCCTGTTGTTAGAGACTTCAAAGGGATGCTAGCCCTGGCACCACACTCTTGTTCAAATCCCAGCTCCACCCCCACAGCTGGCTGCCCTGGTGTAAAGGACTCCCCTCCTGGAGCTCGGTTTCCTCCTCTGTGAAATGGATGTGGGAAGCTTTATGGGAATGAGATGAAATACCTCCCTTAAAGCACTCACTGTTCCTTCCCTCAGTCATGCGCTGTCCAACCTCAGCCTTTGCGCTGGCTGTTCCTTCTGCCTGGGATGTTTTTCTTTCTGATATTTCCCGCCCTCACCCACTTCCCTCACTTCCTTCAAGTCTTTGCTCAAATGCCACCTTCTCAGAGACACCATTCCAGGCCCTCCTTTCAAAAATAGCAGTGCCCCAGCACTCTTTACTCCCTCACTCTGAATTTTTCTCTACAGCATTTACCAACTGACATTAGTTTCTGTCTGCTTATTGCCACCTCCACTAAAAAGTAAGTGCCAAGAGAAGAGGGTTTTTGCCTGTTTCCCTCCCTGCAGTATCCCCAGACACTAGAAAAGGGGCTACCACCTGGGAAGCTCTGGATAAGTGCTCATTTGAATAAAGAACAGAGAAAATGGGCAAATATTATACACTAGTCAGCTAGGTAGACTCCATCCCTACACTCAAATAGCTCATATTCTAGTGGGAGAAAAGGATAAGTAAATGTAACATTGCAGTTATAGTAAGTGCTACAAAATAAAAGTATACAGTGCAAGCCTCAAACAAGGACGCCAACCTAGTCTTGGGGATAGGAATGGCTTCCTGTAAAAGTGTGGGTTGAGCTGAGATCAGAAGGATGAGTAGAAGGCAGCCAGGTAAAGAGTGGAGGAAAGAGAAGTCCAGCAGAGGGCCTAGCATAGGTGAAGAACTTGGGGTAGAAGGAAGTGTGTGATGAGTTTGAGAGCTGAAGGAGACCCATGTGGTTGTCATGGAGGGCTCGATAAGGAACGTGGTAGGAGACGAGCCTGGAATTACCAGGTCAGGTCACTGCAGAGCCTTGCAGGTGAAGGAATTTGTTCTTTATCCTCAGAGCAGTGGAGAGCCTCACTGGTGAATATAAGTAAAGGATTAACAAAACCTTTTCCTCTTTTGCATGAGAATTTGACCTTTGGAAGCTCTGTTTCCTAGAAACAGATAAACATATGTCTGCTATGTTACTAAGCAACATTGCTTCTGATAAAAATGACCCCTGAGGAGGAGGCTAGAACAGATTAGAATTGGAGATACCAGAATGAACTCATGTTTAGCTTAATATAGATGCAGATGATTACATATAGAAAGTTATATATACACACACACACACACACACACACACACACGGGCTAGTATACACACATATATTTCCTTGCTGTCAGGCGAGAGGGCTTAGTAGCAATGATACTCCATAGCAACAAGCACACGTAGCACTGAAATTTGGTTTCTAATACCATTCTCCAATAAAAGGATCCAAGCCTCCTTGGAGAAGTTGCTGTTTATAGGACTTGGGCAGGAAATACTACAAGATGAGCCTGGAGCATCTGATAGTGCCAGAAAGTAAAGAAATGCTACACGCACACACTCTACACACACACTACACATACCTACTACACACACACCACACACACCACACACACTCTACACGCTACACACACACTACACAACACACACTCTACACACCACACACCACACACACACTACACACACCACACACATGCTGTACACACACTATACACACATACTACACAACACACACACTCTACACATACCTACTACACACACACCACACACGCCACACACACTACACACACACTCTACACATACCTACTACACATACACACCACACACACTACACAACACAAACACTATACACACACAATACACACACCACACACACTACACCACACCACACACACACTTTACACACACACTACACACCCACACACTACACACTACACACACTACACACATGCCACACACACACTCTACACACACACTACACAACACACACTCTACACATACCTACTACACATGCCACACACACTACACACATTACACACACTACACACTACACACACCACACACATACCACACGCACACACCACATGCACACACCACACGCACCACACACACACACCACACACACTACACACACACATCACATACATACACTACACACACACACACCACACACTACACACACACCCCACACACATACACACACACCACACATACACACACACACAAATGGTGGAGGTAGGAGCTAACTGAAAGAGCTCCCAATGGCCAAAGCTGGAAAAATTTAAGTGACAAAATAAATAAGGTAATATTGGAATGTAACAAAAAGTATGGAAATAAATATCTCCAAGTCCATACCGATAAAAATAACTGAACAAACAGGTGGAAAAGATAAATCTCCCATGCAGAATTCCAAATTCTGTAGGTAGATAACTCAGTCCTCGAGGAGGGGAACTATAACTCCCCATTTTGAAAGTGTGAGTTGCACATCATGATTCCTTTTCCAAGGGTGTTTTATGGAAAGCGCTGGGGTGGCGGGGCAGGGGTAGGGCGGTGTGAAGTAACTTTACAGTGGAGAAACTGACAAACCTGATGA